CAATTTTGTCCCTAGTGTCCTTAGACAGCTCTTTGGTCTTGCCCATAGTGGAGAAGTTGGACTCTGATAGATTGAGTGTGTGGACAGGTGTTTTTTATACAGGTAACGAGTTCAAACAGGTGCAAGTAATACAGGCAATGAGTGGAGGATAGGAGGGCATCTTAAAGACAAACTAACAGGTCTGTGAGAGCCAGAATTCTTGCTGGTTGGTAGGTGATCAAATACTTATTTCATGCAATACAATGGAAATAAATTATTTAAAAATCTAACAATGTGATTTACTGGAATTTTTTTGTAGATTCTGTCTCTCACAGTTGAGGTGTACCTACGATGAAAATTACAGATCTGTCCGTTCTCTGTAAGTGGGAAAACTTGGAAAATCAGCAGTGTATCAAATACTTACTTGTCCCACTGTAGCTCATGCAGCTATGGATGCTATAACTGTTTATTTACTAATTTTATATGATGAAGGGGACTGAGGGATGTAAATTGGTGCTTGTTACTGAACAGTTTTAAGGCTTTTGTTAAAGCTAAATTAGTCTTTTTCACACATGGCAAGCTGCAGAGTTCAAGCAGTACATCCGGAGAATCTCTTTTAAGATTTTGTGGGTGTGACTGTGTTTTCTCAGGGATATGCTGAGAGGCTGCGTCCTCTGGTGACTGACGGTGTGTACTTCATGAACAAAGCTCTTACTGGACCCAGTAAGAAAATCCTGGTGGAGGGAGCCAATGCTGCTCTCCTGGACATTGACTTTGGTGAGCAACGAGGGGTTTGTGCAGGGGTTTGGACATATGTTTTTTGCCTACTGTAGTTAACAGTATCATATGCTTCTCTGCTCAGGGACATATCCTTTTGTGACGTCTTCTAACTGCACTGTGGGAGGAGTGTGCACTGGCCTTGGCGTGCCACCGTCATATGTTGGCCGAGTGTATGGCGTTGTCAAAGCATACACCACCAGGGTCGGCGTTGGCGCTTTCCCAACAGAGCAGGATAATGTGAGTAAAAAGATGCCACTAACTGGAGATAAATGTTGACAAACTGAAACGTCATCAGTGTTGTGATTAAAGTATCAACTCTCTGGCTTCTCAAGTGCTCAGCAGCAGCTTGTTGTAAATTAGCCGACATCCTCCACTGGGCTGAAGAAGAAACAGTATGTGTTGTTACTGTCAGGTTACCACATTCACTCGCTCACACCAGCAAACACGATTAGTTGTAAGAATGTGGTAATGGATGTAGATATTGACCTGTCATTAAAGGAAAAAAAATAAAAATGCAAATAGTATCTTACTAATGTATGATATCATTGAAGTTACTGATTTTTCTACACAGGTAAGTTGGATTTGTTGACATGGTTCAGTTTGTATGCACTAATGTTGTAACGGTATGAGATTTTCACTGTATGATAACTGTCTCAGAACATATCATGGCTTCACAGTATTACACAACTACTATTATTATCAACTACAATATATTATATAACTAAAGCATATTAGTTTGCATGTTAGCACCAGTAGTAGAGGAAATATTCACGTCTTTCACTTAAGTAAAAGTACTAATATCACACTGTAAAAACTGTAAGTAGAAGTCCTGCATTGGAAATATCTATTTCCCTTTTTATTATTATGAGTTTTTGCATTACAGGTTGTCTTTATGAAGACAGAACAAATAAGATGATCATTACTGAAATGGGGCTGGACTATGCTAAACATAAACCTCTTGTCTGCTCTTAAAAATAATAACACCTTCAAACACATGTTTTTCTGTGTGTGTCAGTGTAAAACCACTGAAGAGTGACAGATGAGTAACTTTCTCCCAGCACAGCTGACGTCATTAGTCTACGTTTAGGGTCTTTTTATCAGGTAGTTTGCCTACAGCAACACCCTGGTTCTCCTAAACACAGATTTCTCCCTCTGTTGTTGGTCTCTCAGGTGTACTTTGTATGTGTGTCTGCCACAATGACACTCGCCATGCTGCAGTGCACCTGGCAGGATTGTCAGATGGAAAAGGAAGCATATATGAACAGGTCCACAATAGTGATAAAGGAGCGGGCCTGTTTGATGTAGTGGATCTCCCTGCTGATATAGACATGACACAGTCATGTTATGTACTGTATGAATGAGACTGCACAGGGATCTGAATCGAGATTGGAACAATATGTTGCAGAATAAGGATACATGGTGTCATAGATGAAAGCACTGCACACTCAGTGGTGCTGCAGAGCAATGGTGAGGAAATCCTCTCCTATTTGTCCTTATTTAGTAACTGTATCTGCTCTATTGACATTAGCATTTAAAAGTTCCAGTCAGTACTCAGTTGTCTGCAGTACTGTATCTGCGGTGTAAATATTTTCTCAGTAAATGAAGAGGCTCAATTAGATGTGAGCATATTAGTTTAAAGTGATATGACATCCCACACAGAAGCTGTTCCAGTAATGCAGACAGTGGTTCAGGTACTGTGGTCAGACACAAGTGAGTTCAAATATCTGGAATTACTCAGAAAACCTCTGTGGGAAAGCTGGATGTCTGCCAGTGACTTTAACTCCAGCTGCTCTGTTCGGCCTGCTTGGTGGTTAACAGCGTAGGTACATCGTTGTACTGGGCAGCTCGCACATATGTGAAACTGAAGCAGGATGTTCCTGAAAAAGTTTACATTTGCTCAGCTGTCTTTTCTTATGTTAGTAAAGGCATCAGAATCGATATGGCATCCCTGAAATTTAGCTGAATTATCTGGATGATTCTGAAACTAAATATAAATAGATGACAGATGAAAGGAAAGACCTGATCAGAGTGGTCTCTTCCAGGAAGACAGTGGCCTCATCCACAGGACACAAGGGGTCACTGAATGGTTTGATGAGGATAAAAATGATGTGAATCATATGCTGTGACCTTCACAGTCACCAGATCTCAACCATGTTTTGGGAGCAATGTGCTAGACAGCGTCTCCACCACCATCGTCAAATGAGAGAATATTTTTTGGAAAAATCCCTCCAGTAGAATTCAGAGATTTGTAGAGTTAATGCCAAGGTGCACTGAAGCTGTTCTGGTGGCACGTGGTGGCCCAACATCTTACTAAGACACTTTTTTTTGTAAAATTTGTCTAACCAGTTTTTTTTCCTCCTTGAGTGCTGACAGTGTGCACTTGTTTGCTGTGCTTTAGGAGATCGGGGCACTGTTACAGTCCAGAGGGAGAGAGTTCGGTGTGACGACGGGTAGAAAGAGGCGCTGTGGTTGGCTGGACCTGATTCTGGTTAGATACGCCCACATGGTCAATGGCTTCTCTGCGTAAGGAACCATCACACCATTTGTGATTATTTTCTTCACCCACGGATGTAATTGGTGGAGTTTTTGCTGTTAACACATAGAAATCAGCTTTGTCCTGTGCTCAGACTAACTGTTGTCATCAGAGTTGAACAGAATGATTTCTTCCTTTGTAGGATTGCACTGACAAAGTTGGACATTTTAGACACGTTGCCTGAGATTAAAGTGGGTGTGGCCTACAAGGTCGATGGACAATGTCTACCAAGTTTTCCTGGTAGGTTCTCCACCTAGATGCTTCACACATTTGCTCTTTGTGTGTATTGGCTATAAGTTTGAAGCTATTGATTAGTTTTATCATGTCAGTTTTAGTTTTCAATTCATTGACTAAAAGTAGTGAAAAATGCACTTGACAAGTTTCTGGAACCCAATACAATATGATTTAAACCATGTTTTGTTCTGACCAATGGTCAGAAGATGTACAGTTTCCACTGATGCTCAGCACATACCATGAACCGGTGATATTAAAGCAGCTAATTCACACATTTGAGGAGCTGGAACCAGTGAATCAGCACTAGATGACTGGAATTTCTGCTGTAAATACTATATATTTTACCCTTCTATTTGAAAATACTAATTTTCTAATACCCATCACAAGATGTTTTTATGCCAGGAGTTTGGTAATTTCCAGGAGAGGGTTTATTATTGTTCAGAGCTGTTACCTAGACAGCTGAAATGCTCCCTAATGTCTGTTTCTTACATGAGTCAGCTTTTACAAACAGGAAATGCAACATCTTGTTTTTAAAAAAAATCTATTTTGCAGCAGATCTGAGGAGGCATTATCTTCAGCTTGTAGTGCCAAATGGGGTCAACTGTATTAAGCTAATGAACCAGACAATAATCAAATGACTCCTCTCTCTCTGCTCCACATGACACTGCAGCTACACTCAACATGTTTTCACAGGTTCTATTATTGATCTACTTCTGTTGCAGCAAACATGGATGTTTTGACGGAAGTGTCAGTGGAGTATGAGACGTTCCCAGGGTGGTGCTGCAGCACCGAGGCGGCTCGGAGCTTTGAGGAGCTGCCACCACAGGCACAAAATTATATTCGGTTCACTGAGGACTTCCTGCAAGTGCCAGGTTTGTAAACAGTTTGCATTAATGGAGAAACCCCAGCCAGAATGTTTTTCATTTTGCCAAACCTGCCAGTCATCTCTTCACTGTTTTTTTTTTTTTTTATTTCTTCTCATTTCAGTGAAGTGGGTTGGAGTTGGCAAGTCCAGAGAGAGCATCATCAAATTGTTTTGATCCCTTTGCATTTTCCACATCTTGTCGTCGTCCTCAGCGACTACTCAGACAGTGACTGCAGGTTCTCATAGGTTAGCAGAAGAGGTGGCTCGATCCTAAAGGACATTTCACCAGTGAGGCAATTTGGTAAACTTTTAGTTGCAGCTTGTGCACCACATATACAACTAATCCTCCTGCATATAATTTCAGCATATATTGCTTTCTATATTTATTGGTGTTAATTTTTATAAACCTGGTGTAAATGGGTCGATCAGTCTTTGTTCCATTCCACAGTACAACACGCAACTTAATTTAACATTTTAGGTGAACTAGCTTTGACATTTGTTCCCCATGTTAGTTTTCTTCCTTCCTTTCGAAGAACAGCCAATGAAGAGATGTAGTATCCTTCATATTAAAGAGCGTCATAATAAAGCAAGAGATTATTTTCAGTCTTTGTAAAGAAATTTTAAAAAAATGATTTAAAGCCACTGCCATCAGTATGATTGTGAAATTTTCCATTGGATCGTTTTCAACTACTGTAAGAAAAACATGCAGCCCAATTTTGGTTTGTAACAGTATTTTCATAATGGTTGTTGGAATGAACATAGTGCTTTTTAAATAGGAAAAATAAGTAGAAATTCTGTGTGTAGATGGAAAGAAAAGGTGGGCGGTAATGTACATCGCATTAGGTTCTATGCCATTTCTTTCATTTTCCCAGTAATGTAAAAGACTTATTTGGCTGGCTATTATCCATTAAAGGAAACCATAACATTAATGCTTACTGATGTTGTCGTGTTTACCCACTAAATAGTTTGCCTATAAAGGTCTGGATCACATACACTGAACAAAATTATAAACGCAACACTTTTGTGCTTGCCTCCATTTTCTGTTCTGAACTCAAAGATCTATGACTTGTTTTATGTACACAAAAGGCCTATTTCTCTCAAATATTGTTCACAAATCTGTCTAAATCTGTGTTAGTGAGCACCTCTCCTTTGCCAAGATGATCCATCCACCTCACAGGTGTGGCATATCAAGATGCTGTTTAGACAGTGTAGCTGCACTGGTTTAGTCCTAGTTTTAAGGATCGCCACGCTTTGTATAGATGTCTTCAGAAAGTTTTATTTTTCCCTCAGGCACCGTGAAAACTACAGGCAAAGTAACAAGAAAGAATCTTAAATATATACAAATAGAGGCACATGAACAACATCAAGCACAAATACAACATAAGTACACCTCACTGTTTGCGCCTCTAAAACCATGTGCAGAAAATAACTTTGGGGCTGTATGTCTCTTCTCTGTCCATGTTGTCTCTGTCCCATAATGCCACATTGGCGCCCCTCACTCGACTCCAGTCACATGGTTGACACACTGCCCTTCAAAATAAACCTCTTTACTAACAAAAGTAATACATTTCTCAGTTCTTCTCATCTCTGCTAACACTTAACAACCCATTCATGACATTTCAACCAATTCCTCAATAGTAATAATTCATTATTAATAACAAATATAAACCCACTTCTCAAATGAAACCTGTCATTTGGACAGTTAGACAGCATGAATTTTGCACAGGTGTGCCTTAGGCTGGCCACAATAAAAGGCAACTAAAATGTGCAGTTTTACTGTATTGGGCGGGGGGGGCACCACCATGGGCCACTCAATCCACAACACTGACATCAGCAAACCACTCACCCACACGACACCATACATGCTGTCTGCCATCTGCCCTGTACACTGAAAACCGGGATTCATACATGAAGAGAACACCTCTCCAAAGTGCCAGGTATGAGACAGTTCACTCCTGGGCACAGACTTGTAAAAGACCCCTACCCTTCCTGCTTGTGTGTGTGTGTGTGTGTGTTACGTTTCTATGTGCTTGCTTTGAATCTAGTTCTTCTGTCTCTTGATATTTTGCACATGTCTGGCAGGACTGTTCAGACATCCATCCATGGGTGTACTGGGTGGCCCATGTGAAATCTGCACCTTGGAGGAAGTGTAATGATAACATATTACTAAGTGGGATATTTTGTGGTTGAGAAACTGCCAATCAGTGTCTTTTCTCAAACTATGACATAGGGTTATTTAGCATTTTGGTACTGTAATATCTCATTGCCCTACATGCACACCATTAATGATACATCAGCCTGCCATGTTTATTGGCTTAACATTAAAAATATTTAAAACATTTTAAAGAGCTCCCACACACAAGGTTTAATAGAGACTCCATAAATGTTGGATATTCACTGACAGTTACTAATATTCCTGGTAATGTTAGCATAATGTGTAAGGAAAGAACAACATGGCATTTCCTCACCAACCTAAAACCTCTACTCAACACGCCTCTTCCAGTATGACTGAACTGCCTGGCCACATCAGTCTGCCTACAGAAACACTCTTCTCACCAGTCCGTTTGCACACTCGTAGCCACTGGTCCTGTGATGTTTTTCTCTCACTCTTTCTTTTCTCTTTACACACTTCTGAGTTATACTGATTTCCTTACACAGTTTAAAAGCTTTTCAGGACCAGAAGGGATCAGGTTAAAGTGTAAAGTGGATTGCTTGGCAGATCGATTTGAGGTGTAACAATGTACTGGAGCTTCTCAGATATTCAGTGTCTTTCTAATCTGTTAAAGGCCCCCGTGTGCATACAGTGTTCTCCGTTGTTTGGGCTGAGAAGGTCACTGATCAGGTGGTTAATTGGCAAAGCTATGCTGGAAAATAACATGATGTCATCAAGGTCTGTAGTCTTAGTTTTATTAGTAGTCCACAAAGGTTGATAAATCTTACATTAGTAATAAGTTAGCAGGACAGATGAGGAGATGGCAGCCAATCATAATTTATGCATGTCCACATAGTCTAGGTCCTCAGGTACAGTTGTGATCATCACCTGACTAGTCATCTGGTGCCATCATCAGATCAAAATGTTAATTAATACTTTGGTATTTGACCAAATACCTGAAAAATTAAAGGCACTCCTGTCAGCCTCAAGTGTTTCTTGTGTTTAGTGCAAATTAGCAAGTGTTAGCAAGCTAACACACTATGAACAAGGTAAACATTTTACATTCTAAATAGCAGCACGTTCACATTGTCACATGGCTAAATGTTAGCATGTTTGGAGCATGTTAGCACCAGCTTTTCATAGCTGTGATACCCACCTTGTTAAAAACAAGTTTTTCTAAATATCTATAACTGTGGTAATTTTTTAGTACCAGCTAATTAAGTTATAGACTCCTTTTAAATAAAGTGGTAAGCAACCATATTATTGTTGTTACTGCATGCTTAATGAATAAAATGAAACAACTTATTAACCCATAGGTTAGTTTCAAATTGAAGTTTGTTACTGTGTAATAAAACCTGACTGATATTGGATTATTAAACATACCTACCATATGTTAGCACACCGTTATTAGAAAGAGTTACTCAGGTCAAAATATGAATAGCCACCATTTCACATGTGTAAATCAAAATATCTTGCTGTCCTTTAAACACAGCAACTTGCAAGTCATTTAGCTCTTTTTTTTTATTATCTAATTTTATTAATAACAAGACTTTTTATGTGCTGTTGGATAAATAATTTTTTTTTTAATATTGACTGTTGCAAGTGTATCTTCCTTTAAATGAGCAAAGTTGCAGACGTTTGCTAACCAATCAATTTCTAGTCCAAGAAGTCCCTGCATCATCAGAAATTGCAGAAAGTGAGCTGCAAGAAGGCTTAATTGAAAATAAAGTGCTCATAATAGCACTGTAGCCCACTCCTCCCCCCTGCTCTTTTATTTACTACCTCCTCCCTTTACTTGTAATTGTGAGCACATTTATCATCAGATTAAACTTATTTCTGCCTAGCTTCTTCTCAGATGCTCATTCCTGATCAGACCTATTTCCAGAATCTGTTCACTGGGTGGACCTTGCTTAATCTTCATATTGCTAACAAAACCACACGAAATATTAAAAGGACACCTAGAACTGAGCCTGTCGATCATCAGAAGTATGTATTTCTACATTTTCTTTACATGGATCACTGATTGTGTGACTGTATTGCAAGGCTGGTGTGTTTTATAAAGAAAAAACAATACCAGAATTATTAAACAATGTACCCTACCTATGAATGTGACCCTAAAGAAATGTACATTGTTATTTGTCGAGGTGCTGCAGATATCTAATTCTATTCATTTTTGCTATCAGCATGACCTTTCAGTGAAAACAAGCTAGTAATATTTGTATTTCTGAGGGGTTTTTTTTTTCATATTGAACTCGTTATGTCAATAGAGAGTCAGAAGAGTTACTCTGTGATTCACGCAGTAGCAGGTAACATTCTGTTTGTGCACTTATTAGAAATAATCATTCCTTTGATTTGTCAGTTTTCATAAACCTTCCTCATACTGCATTGTGTAGCCCAAGTAATAAGACACTTCGGTTGGATTGTTCAGTTCTCATAAGAACAGAGAGACAGCAGGTCTCCCACAGATTGAATTAAAGGCAGTAAATATATTTAACAGTTTATTTGGTGAGTGCATAAAATAAATCCAATTTTGCTGCTGGGTTTTTCCAGATCAAGTACAAAGCATTTGCAGGAAAAGATAGAGGAAGATGTGTCAGGTTCTATCTCATTACAAATTTTATATAGTCTTTTGACAAATGCATCAAATTCTGTTACCACATAATGTACTTGTCTAATGCATTACTATATGATACGTGTCTATCTGCTTGTAATTAGCTACTTAAAGTCATAAATTTACTTCAGTACAGTGTTTGATGGAAAATTTTCAAGATCAGTAATGAATCTGTTTGTTACCCCAAACACTGTTAATAAGCAGCATGTGTACATACTACAAAACTAGCAAATAATTAATACACAGCAGGAAACCAAAATGCACATTATACAGTATAATAGTATTTTCCTTGCTTTAAGGTCCGTAACACCGAAACTTCTTTTTCTGTGCTTGGTCATTTATTTTCTGTCTTTTATGTAAACTAGTATTTGCGGTTGCATGCCTCTGCCAACCAGTCAAATTTATGCTTATACTGTAGGACAGAAGTAAGGCCACTGACCTTTGACCACCAAAATCTAATCAGTTCATCCTTGAGTCCAAGTGAACATTTGTGCCAAATTTGAAGTAATTTCCTTAAGATGTTCCTGAGATATCGTGTTCACATGAATTGTATGGATGAATGGAGGGACAATCCGAAAACATAATGCCTCCAGCCATGGATATTGTCGGTGCAAAGGCCTAAAAATGTTGCCAATGCCTCTTGCACTTTAGGGCATGTCTGAAATTTGATCTACCAATGTGCTGATCGAAGAGTAACACAGTGTTATACTGTGGATTAGGTCAGTTTGGAAAAAGCTGTCATCCTGGTCCATGCAAAGCTATGTTAATATAAATAAAAAAATGGACAATATTAATGTTTTCAATGAGAATAATAAATACTCACATCTGTAAAGAATCCATTTTGGTTGAAATCAGGCCCTGAATCGTACTTGATTAATACAAGTACTGGTTGGTTAATGACTGACTGTTAATATGTTTTAACAGTGTTATTATTAGCCATTGTGTCCATAAACTCTTAGTTATACTCAAAAAAAAAAAAAATCTGACATTAATTGTGGCTACAAAAAGGGATGACTAAAAAGCGATTTTGGTCAAACGTTAAACTTTATATACTTATGTATCCATAAGAATCAAAGTCTGGCAGTGTATCTGAACTCCAGCTTCTCTAAACTGTCCTAAACTTTGCCTGCTTGCAAAATGGCACATACAAAACCAGGTATCTCTCTCTTCAGAACATACATTTCTGTTCAGTTATTCTCTGCCATGACTGCCAGAGACCTCAGCAGACTACCAGCACAGCTTCCAAGGACAAAAAGGTGTGCCAGGCCAGTATAGCGGGCTAAGTAGGATGACATTAAATGAGTTAGAGTTTGGAAAGGAGCTTGGAAGAAAGAGTACCAGATAATCCATGAATACATAGGTGCATATTCAGTAACTTTAAAATGAATGAATGACTCCTTAGCCCTGCTTTCACAACACTAAAGCATCTTGGGTATTTGCCAACTTGGCTTTATAATCTTATTTTTCTGTCTGTCACCTGTTTGTGGCTCATTTGAAAACACATTTTTACATGTATTTTTTCTTTTTACTATTCAGTGCAGTGATGCCACTGTATAGTGTGTATGTGAAGAAAATTAGCAACAAAAAATGTTTTTATTGTTAGCCATGCTAGCACATGGCCCTATAGGTATGATGTCAGTCAGCTGGTCTATCACTCCATCTTTTTACCAAGCCAACACCTACAAACTTTTAAATGCTAACAAACTAAACTTAGATTGTGAAAACAATAAAAGGTATATTTGCTTAGCAGTGTCAAATCAGCATGCTAATGTTAGCATCTAGCTCAAAAACACAGAGCAAAATAAAATTTTACATAGGCGGTAGCACAACTGCAGAGTCTTGACCTGAGACTAGACTCTTCAAACTTTTCTCAAGAAATATCCAGTAACTAGATGATAATCATCTTATCAATATGGATACTAATTAATTTAGTAACACTATTAAATGTTAAAACCAGGAGTCTGAAATGTATAGCAGAAGTACTGTGAACTGGCTGATACTGATGATGAGAGGAGCATCTGAGAGCTCACTTCAGTCTCCTAAGAAACCACGTCCTCACTTGTGTAAACCCACACACACCCACATTTGCCTTTCTATAGTTGTCAGGACAGAAGCTAACATAAGGCATTCTCCTGCCCCTTACCCTAATCTTAACCATCACAACTAAATAGTTATCCTAATCCTAACCTAAACCTAATTCAAGCCTGACCCCTCAAACAGCCTATTGATTTGTGAGGATCAACCAAATTGTCCTTAAAATATAAAAAAGTCTTTGCAGCAGTAGTTTTGAACTAAAATTTGTCCGTACAACCATACAAAGATGTACACATGCACACAGAAAGAGAGCAGCAGCAGTTCTGTCAAGCATTTTCTGAAGACAATGGGATACTGACAGAGGGCTGAAGGGTGGCTGAGCTGGCTTCCCCCTGCTGAGTCAGCAGTGTAACACCATTCAGACCTCAATGAACCATGAAAATGGATCGCACAGAGATGTCAGTAGCTATGCATATATATGCCTCCAGACACTACTGCTGTACAACCTAGCACTTAACACTACTTCTCAGGAGAAAATGACAGTATATGAATAATTATCACTAAGGCAATTTATGAAGTGTATTGTGTATTTGTCAATAAATTTCATTACAGCTTTCTCAAGTAGGTCCATCTAATTTTTACAGAACCTACCGTTTGAAAAATAAACTCATCTAAATGGAGCTTAGCTTTCATCTTCTCTAACTTTAGCTGTGCTGCTCTCTCTCTCTCTCTTTCTCTCTCTAATCCCTTCTCTCACTCTATTTAAAGTCAGTTTGACTGAATATCCTTTTCTCTCTTGTGTGCTTAGCAACAACCTCCCTCCTCACTCACACTCATGCTCACACACACCCTCTGTATGCAGCTGCCTGAACTAATGAAACACTCTGCATGAGGTGGCTGGTACTTTGGATTTTTATGATCCTTCATTCTGAGGTAAGCACACACGGGCGGGACTGTCTGGAGCGTTAGTCAGTACCTTACGTCTTATGGACCCAGAGGGAGTCTAAATGGTAATAAAATGGGATTACTATGGCTATGACCAGGCTGCAGCAGCAGCACCAGCAGCAGTAGTATTGTTGACACTTAATGCAAGTCATACTATCTCTTTGTCACCTGCCAGGCATTCTGTGTTAGGTCTGCTAGAGGCAGGTGTCCAGTCGGTAGACTGCTGTTTAGCTTCTTTATGTGTCTTTGGTCTGTGTTGGTAAATGTTAGATTAATAGTTTCCACAGTCAGAAGTGTCTTCAACTGTGTAGTTTGGACCAAGATATTGTAGAATAATATCTTTGGTGTTCCAATATTATGTGGATTGTTGCATTCTTTAAGGAATTCATGAATTGTTTGTGCATTATGAGTTACATGTCAAGATCAAACATGTTTTGTATGTTAGTCTCATTTGTTATGACTGTTTTATGACATGTCCTGAATGTGTGAACCACATAATCTTGTGCAATTCAAACTACTACAGTGCAGCTATGAGAACGTGCTACTAACCTCTGGCTGTAATGTGTTCAATTACATAAGTGGACTTTGTTGCTTCCCAGCAACTGTAAAACCCTGGAAAGAAAATGTATATTTTGCTGTCATTGTTTGACAGTTTATTGCTCTAGTTTTGGATCAGTACCAACAACTCTGCTGACTAATGAACTGCAGCCACTGAGCTTTACAAAACAGTGATGCACAGTTGCAATTACAAGTGGCGGGCAGTCCACAACTTAAAATCCTTCCCTCTTAAATCATTTTCAGTACATCTGGGACAAAGGGAGTGTCATTTTTTCCAACTCCATTTCTTTCAGACAGTAAAGCATCAGAGTCCAGTTTCAGTTTATTTTTTCCAACTCCATTTCTTTCAGACCAGTCCAGTTTCAGTTCTAAATGAGAACGTCTTCTTAGATTGAGCTGATGAAGACCTGCATCATCACAACAAACCAGCTTTCACAGCTCAACATCCACCACCGCACACTTCCGCTTCTTTAAGATTTAAAAAGATCTCTGCTATATATGGAAGAACCTGCACTTTAATGTTTCTTCTCCAACTGATGATCAGCATAACCTGAAGGAAATAAATTTTCATCTACAACAAGGCATTGTTTTCCATCCCTCATCATCCAGATTTTACATAGGTGTGAGCGGAACAACAAAGCTGAACTATGAAAGCCTTTCATGGTACATATAATTAGAAGATGGTACCAGACAATGTGTTATGATCAAGAAAAACATCCCCAACACCAACAGGTGGCTTCAATTCTGCCACATTAGCATTTCTGTGTGTGACTGCCATGTCTGAGAGTTCATTGTTGCCTGCTGTCGAGGTGCTGACAGCTTTTGTATTTTATGAGAAAGTCAATGTTTTGTCGCTCTTCTTTTATTTAAAATCCTTGACATAAATGCTGTGACTGCTGAACTGCATTTGCAAATATGTGTCCTGTCTAGTGTCCCCTCCTTCAGAGTGTGAGGTGGACGGGCTCCCCAGTGGTTACGGGTCCAGGGACTCCATCCTTAAACCTGGCACTGAGAGCGACTGGAAAAGAAGAAGGCTTGAGCATATAAGGCAGATAAACAGGTAAGCTCAATCCTTAAAGCTGATCCTTCTGTGTATTCATGGCATGATCACTTATGTTTCAGAGCCTTTCATTCAAGCATATCTGTTCAGAGTTTTAGTCAGGTCAGGTGACAGGAGTTTTATTAGGGATATTGTGTTTACTGTGTGTCAGCAGCGTGGTGAGGTCAGAATCCATTTAATGCTTTGTGTAGCTAATACACCGGCTGTTGCAGATGTGTAGAGCCTGGGCTGCTGTCAGACACTGCGGTCAGTATTAAACCCTTGTGTTTGTGTGGTTGCTGATGTTTCAGCTGCAGCAGCTGGGATCTAGGTCACACCAATGCTGAGCCTGGCAAAGGGAAACAGCAGTCTGCATTTTCATTGAGTGGAGGCGCAGCCATGCGCTGCTCCACCCTACTTGTCATCCTCACGGGGGTGCTTCTCTACTTGGTTCTGGGTGCTGTGGTGTTCCGCACCCTGGAGACTCCACGAGAGGAGGGCAAGCACATGCAACTGCAGGACACGCGCCGGGACTTCCTGTTGAATTTCACCTGCGTTGGCCCAGACAACCTACAGACCCTTATAGAGGTACAACAGATGGCAACAGCCGCTCATTATCTGGCTTTTATTTGGGAAGATTTGAAAATATTTAGTAACCACCTGTTAACCACAAACCCTCTAAAGGGCAGCTAAACAATTCTTCTGTGTTCTAAAATTTCCCAGTGTGCGGGGCAGTGTGGTCAGCCAATGAGGTCAAGTGCCTCTTATGTTCTATGTGCATATAAGGGCTTTATTGTGTCATTGACACCACTTTTACATAAATAATAACTTACCTATAGCAGAGATTTTCAACATTATGATGTAGAAAACCTGTGATTCTTATTAAGATCATGGTTTTGACATGAGCTGTGAGTGCTTCAGTCACACAGTGGTTTTTCCACTCAGATTTAGTCATTTCAATGATTTTTACAGGCCTTATTAGATAAACATGATCAGCATTTCATAAAAAAGTCACACTTGAGTACCCCTCAGCCCCCATGTGCACACTCCAATCTCCATCCTTCCATCCATTATCTATACCCCTCTTATCCTTGAATAGGGTCACAGGGGGGCTGGAGCCAATTCCAGCTGACTTTGGGAGAGAGGCGGGTTACACCCTGGACAGGTCTACTCTAATCTTCTTGTGCTAATAATTTTGGGTCCTCTTGAGGTGGCCCTGGTCTTCAGGTTTGGAACCACTGAAATGTAATCTTTGTGACTCACTACAATGCTGTGATGTTTCCTTTTTTTCATTATGCAAATTTCATTTGTTGATTATGTTGATAATTTTGCTGGGTTGCTTTTAAGTTACAGCCAGGTTACTTTGCTAATCACTGTAATGAACCTTTTTCACTATTAATTGTGTACTTCAGTCCGAGCTGTCCCTGGCAGGCTAGTGGTTAAGGCGCAGCGCTCTCACCGCTGTGGCCCGGATTCGAGTCAGGGTTACGTCAGCAAGGGCATCCGGCGTAAAACACGTGCCAAATGTCAACATGTGAGTCGTCAGTGTGACAATTCACTGTGGCGACCCCTCAACGGGAAATGCAAAAAGTGACTTTCAGTTGTGTACTTTGGTCCAACACACAATTGATATATGCAAAAGTGTCAGTGTTAGTGTACAAAATCACAGATTGTTGTTATTTAAGTGTTAGTGTACAAAATCACAGATTGTTGTTATTTAAATCATTTACATAAACACGTCCCAAGGACCTTAGAGACTGACCGCCAGCTAAAAATAAATTCTTGCTGGATGTCTGACAGATAATTGGCTCTACTTCAGATTTCTATTCACTGGGAACTTGGTTGACTCTGACAATATCATGCTTTCAATTATTTTTTGTGGTTCCTGAAGGTGACCCTTCAGACTTGTGTAGTGTATGGTGCTGGCCAGTGAAGCTCCACTGTGGCCCTGTGGAGCACAGCATGACTGTGGACAAGATAAAAGCTCTGTAAGGATGGTGCAGCTCTAGTCTATTTGTAAGTGCATGAAAGCTGAGCCACAGGTTGAGTGTTATGATCCGGCAACCATGTTGTGATCCCAAAATACTTGTCCTTGCTCCAAAATGAAGGTTGTAAATTACAGTTTTAGCCTGCAAAGTCATCTCTAGATGCAGGGTCTGACATTTTCAAAAAGGTTAAAGGGAGTGCAGGATATAACAGAAGTAATGATGGTCCCAGTCAAGCTGGCCATGTGTTGTTTTTGATCATTTAAAAGAGACTTTGCAGATTCCTTTAGTGGATCCTGCTCACTAATTAACTTAAAAGATTGAAAAGATGATGAGGACGTACAGGATGCAGACCTATTATGGTTGATAAAAGTGGTGAATGCACAGATATTAAAAAATATCTAATAATATAAACTATAATGTGATATACACCACAGCAACAGTCATCCTTGAGATGCTTGGCTATAAGTTCAGCAAAGGCCATAAGGAGCAGTATCCTCCATGGAGAAGGAGGTTGGAGACCAAGATCAAGGCAGCAAGGAGAGAAGTTAGCCAGCTATTGGAATTTCAGAAAGGCATGATGAAGAAAGGGGTACCTAAGAAATACAACTCACTGTCCATACCTGAGACCTTGGAGACTGCCAAGCAAAGGCTCACAGCCCTGGCCACCCGGCTGAAGAGGTACACCAGAGAAGTTGAAGCCAGGAGAATAAACCGAATGTTCTCCACTGAGCCATCCAAGGTGTACTCTCAGTGGCAGGGTAATAACATGAGAGCAGACCCACCAAGGCTGGAGATTGAACAGTTCTGGAAGAGCATATGGGAGGAGGACGCACCACATAACAACAATGCCCAGTGGCTGGTGGACCTAAGAACAGACCACAGCAACCTCCCCGCACAAGACCCAGTAATCATCACAATGGCAGACATTCAAGAGAGGCTCTCAAGTATGAAGAGCTGGACAGCAACAGGCCCTGACATGATCCACGCCTACTGGTTAAAGAAGCTAACTTCACTCCATGAGCACCTGGCGGGACAAATGAACCAGCTACTAATGGATGGAACCCACCTTGAGTGGTTAACTGAAGGCCGGACAATCCTGATCCTGAAGGACCCTCACAAGAGAGCAGTACCATCCCACTACCACTTGGAACTGTACAACATCAACAGGACTCTAAGAGTCTTCATCAAGAACTCAATGGGAATGTGGAAAACAATCTTCACTACCACTTCAAGCCAATTGCACAAGTCAACATCAAGTGCAGTATCTACCAAGGAGATACTCTGTCCCCCCTGCTGTTCTGAATAGGGCTGACCCCCCTCAGCCACATCATCACCAAGAGTGGTTACAGATACCGACTATGGAATGGAGCAACCATCGGCCACCTCCTGTACATGGATGACATCAAGCTGTATGCCAGGAGTGAATGAGACATCGACTCACTGATCCACACCACTAGGATCTACAGCCAGTACATTGGAATGTCATTCGAACTGGGTAAGTGTGGCTGAATGGTAACAAGGAGAGAAAAGGTAGTCAGAACTTAGGGGATTGTACTACCAGAAGGCAACATAGCAGATGTTGAGGGCAGCTACAAGTACCTTGGGATCCTGCAGGCAAATGGGAACCATGAAGGAAAGCAGCAACTACCAAGTACCTGCTACCAAGTAAGGCAAGTCCTGAGAAGTCAGCTGGATGGAAAGAACAAAGTCCGGGTAATTAACACTTACACCCTGCCGGTCATCAGGTACCCCGCTGGCATAATAAGATGGCCAAAGGAGGAGATAGAGGCCACTGACATCAAGACAAGGAAGCTCCTTACAATGCATGGTGGGTTTAGTGTACAGAAACATCTGTGCCGTGTACAGGCTAGAAGTCCCAAAGGCAAAATGGGATGCACCTCCAAAGGTGGTTGAGAATGACCAAGCTAAGATCCTGTGGGACTTCCAGATACAAACTGACAAACTGGTAATGGCCAACCAACTGGACATAGTAGTGGTGGACAAACAGAAGAAGAAGGCAGTAGTGATAGATGTAGCAATCTCAAGCAATAGCAACATCAGGAAGAAGGAACACGAGAAGCTTGAGAAATACCAAGGGCTGAAAGAAGAGCTAGAAAAAATGTGGAAGGTGAAGACACAAGTGGTCCCCGTGGTAATAGGAACATTGGGGGCTGTGACCCCCAAACTGGGAGAGTGGCTCCAACAGATCCCAGGAACATCATCTGAGATCTCCGTCCAGAAGAGTGCAGTCCTAGGAACAGCTAAGATACTGCCCTCAAGCTCCCAGGCCTCTGGTAGAGGACCCGATCTTGAGGGAAGGAATATAGGACTGCCCCAAAGTGGGGGGCGAGTGGGGAATTTATATATACATATATAGTTTGCCTCATGTCCCTTCCACTAACATGAAGGGATTTATGACTTCTACTGCAGCCAGCCACTGGGGGATGATTGACTCGTGGTATCTTCACTTGTCAGGCTGTCCATCTTTTATACAGTTAATGGTCTGACAAAAGAAAAATGTCACCTGAACATGTTAACTTGAGCTGTTTTCCCTGCAGTGATTTATGTTTTATTGAATAAACAATAAACTTATTTATTAGCACAGAATAATAAAATAAATTGATAGGCTTTTATTGATAATCTGTAAATGGAGGTTAATGTTGCTTTTGTATATTGTACTAAATTTACAAATGAAATAATTACAGTTTATGATATAGTGTGTTTAGGCTGAATATATAGCATTGGTGTGTGTTTAGTTTTATTTGTATGCAAACTGTGTAGTGTTATAGCAGAGGCTACACTGTTCTGCAAAGCTGAAGTGCAATGTTCTTGGTTATGGTTAGTAGCACCCTCTACAATCTTCACCTGTCTCTTGTTTGATAATGTTGTGGTGCTGATGTTCTACATAGTTAGACAGTACTGTGAGGAAGTGTTGTTTTTCTGGCTTCAGATAGTTCAGACAAATGTTCTGCTGTGGTGAACAGGGTACACAGAGGCTGAGGTCCACATGACTAACCTCATACATTACACTTTGATCCTGAGTTCTTTTAAATTAACTTGAGCCAGATGAGGAGTAAAAAAATCTAGCCACAGGGGTTGCAAGCCAGTGACTTCTGTGCCAGTCCCAAGCCGGGATAAATAGAGAGGGTTGCATCAGGAAGGGCATCCGGCGTAAAAACATGCCAAATTTAAACATGCGAATCATCAGTGCGAATTCCATACCGGATCAGTCGAGGCCCAGGTTAACAACGACCGCCACCAGTGCTGTTGACCAACAGGGTGCTGGCGGAAATTGGACTACTGTTGGTCGAAGAAGGAGAGGAGGCAGAAGGATTTGTAGACAGAGAGAGAATTGGAAAGGCAGGAGTATAGGTCTGAGAATAGGGACTCTTAACGTTGGGACAATGATAGGGAAAGGGTGGTGGTAGACATGATGGAGAGAAGGAAGGTAGATATACTGTGTGTGCAGGAAACCAGGTGAAAGGGTAGCAAAGCGGGTAGCATTGGAGGGAGATACAAACTGTTTTATTATGCTGTGGACAGGAAGGGAAATGGGGGAGGAGTGATCCT